AACATTATCATTTCAATACAAAATCAATATAAACAATTACAGTGTAAGATATTTTTACTTTCTTTTTTGTGCTGAGTCTTTGAAATCTRGTGTGTTTACACTTGGGCTTGAATCCACACTTACAGTTGGGTGCTTAGTAGCCACCTGTGGCCTTCAGTGACAAGTGGACCCTCCTCCTTGGTCATCAGATGGCCTGGCTTTGGGGAGTCCTCCTCTTGTCCCTGCAGGCTTGCTGTGGCAGTCTGTTTTTTACCCAGAGTCCTCTGTGATTGGATGCCGGCCACAGTGGCTGAAGCTCAGGCTTCTTTGCAGTTTGGCTCCCAAACCCGTTACTTTGGCAAGTCGCTCAGAAAGAAAACTGTCACCTAAAGCATTTTTTAAGCCTTTCTGTCTTAGTTTTTTGAATTAATGTTTAGACTGTTCTGTGCAACATCAACTCGATATTGAAATTCAAGTATAGAAGTTGTGGCTAATGCCTGCTCTCATGGGGACTTGCCACTCCTACTCGTAATGCCTTCTAGTGCCAGGCATTATCTGCCTGCAGAGAGGAGCTGTGGGTAGGAGTGTTTGAGACAAGTCTTCTTAAAGATGTCCTTGGCCATCTCCTGACCTGTGCCGTAGAGTTGGTTCTGATGGTGTTTGACCTCGAGGCAGCCTCAGCCCCATTGTTTTATATTCTGAAGCAAGAAAATACTATAAAATTTTTCGAAAACAAGAAGTGATTCATGGTCTCACTATTGTAGCCTGGTGGTTACCACCACCACCACCATCACCATCTTTTAATGCATTACCTTCCAATGCACAAATGTGAACTTAATCCATTTCTCACATACTTGCAAATTACAGTGCTCCTGGGACTTTATTCCATGGTATTTATGATACAGAGCTTAAAAACACACAGGTATTATATGTGTATAGTCACAGCTAACTGTATTTTTCAGATTGCATAGTTTGCATATTTTGCTTAACTGCTTTTCTGTTAGTCTTCAAAGTTGTTACAAATTATTCTGGTGTTCAAAAAATCTGGAGAGGTATCTCTGTGCAAATACCCATTTCCTCCTGTTTCTGAGGCCCTGCTAGGAAGCTAGTGACTTGAACCACGTCAGTATGTTGGTGGCCTAAAAGGACTTCCTGCATCCTCTTCCCTCAGCTGTGGGAGGGCATCCCTGGGCTCTTGCTCTGTTACTGGACAAWGTCATTTTTCCAAAATTGATCCTCAGTAAGTCCCATCCGCTGCTTGACATTTGTCCAGAAGCCTGGACACATCATTTTTCCTCTTGATTGTGTGCTATGAAGTTTTTGTGTCAGAACCATGATTTTCTTATCTTTGAGTTCTTTATTTAATAGATTTATTATCCCACTGGTATTTGCACTACTGTATTTTTTAAAATGACTTAAGACCCTATAAAAACTAAGATTTTTATTGTTTTAAATTTTTGCACAAGGGTTAGAAAAATGACATTTACTTCTGTTTCTTTTTCTTTTTTCCTAGATACTCTCTAAGTGGTGGAGGAACTTCGTCCCACTGAAACCCTTTGGCCTCTGGGGTTCTGTTTTCCCTCCTTTCTTCTGCATCCTCCTTTTGAAGGTCGAGGAGAACCTTTGCCAGCTCTGCTGGAGGCGCCACGGAGGGCCACCCCCAAGGCCGCGCCGTCCAGGGACACACTTAGCCCTCGCTGTGCCACAGCCTGATGAAGTCTCTCGCATGGGGTGGGGAGGGCCAGCTCCTTCAAGCAATTATTTTATTTTTTTATTGTTTTTAATTTTAACCATAGTGCACATATTCAAGGAAAATGTCTTTGAAAACAAAACCCCTGAAGTGTATATTTGGGATTGTGATAAGGCAACTAAAGACATGAAACCTCAGGTATCCTGCTTTAAGTCGATAACTCCCCCGGGAGATGGAGAATCGCTGGTGGATCTGTGTACAGACTGTATATAGCGTCATTTTTACAGAAACCCCTTTGGCGTGCATAAGGAATCACTGTGTACAAATCGGCCAAGTGCTTCTGTAGATAATGTCCGTGGAGTAAATATTTGACAGGCCATAACTTGAGTCTATTGCCTTGCCTTTATTACATGTAAATTTTGAATCATGTGACCAGTGATTTGGGTTTTATTTTGTATTTGCAGGGTTTGCCATTAATAATAATTAAYGCCCCTCAATGGAACACTCCCATTTGTACCTCGACAGATGCAAATGTCCCTCTTGTTTGTCCTTCACCCCTTTTGGTACACTTAGAAGTTGATTTCCTTTTTCATTGATGGTACTATTTCTTAGTGTTTTAAATTGGAACATATCTTGCCTCATGAAGCTTTAAATTATTATTCTGAGTTTCCCAGAGGAAGCACTCTCGTCTAACCTTTGTTTGGAGTCGTGCACCAGGCGCACTGTCCTGCCCACACGATTTTCTGTTGCACCTCGTAGCGGAATCTGCATATCATCATCTTTCCCACCTGGAAGTGTCTGGATGCTTACACCAATAAATTTTATAACACACTTATTTTGCATACTCTTCTTGAAACATGACTGCAGAGTGGACAGGGCACCTGCTCTTGTGTGTGTGGTTGTGTAAGTGTGTGGCTGGCTGAGTGTGTGTGCTGAGACAGTTCAGAAAACTCCAGGGAAAAGTGCCCAGGTGGGAAAATGCTGATGAGCAGCATTTTCAACTTTGCAACTGTGTGAGTGGTCACTGAGATGTGGCTGGACATTGCAGATTTGTGAAACTGCTCTACCTCTTGCCAAGGACTTTAAGGATAGTTTTAGTTCTTCTGAAGGAGACCTCGGCTACCAGTGTTGTCACCCAGGATGTCTGGTTTTCTTGGTTTGCTATCAGGTGTTGTTTAGCAAGGTGGGAAATTTCTGGGTTTTCTGCAACGAGGGAGGGTTGTGTGTTTTATTTTGGTACAGGTAACGTTCTTTTATATTTGTTGATGCTAATTACTGTCATCTTTTATTGGGGTAGTGGCTTGGTCCTTTAGTAATATGTTGCCAGGATTAAGACAATGGAATTTTGGGGAGGCAACGAAGTCGCTGGGTGGACTGGGAAGTTCATTGCCGCAGTGGCCTGGAGGTTGCCGGGACAGAGAACATGCCTGAGCTCGAGGTTGTTGCAGAGGGATATCGGTTTGTTTGGATTTGATGTGGGAGTTTAGACTATGGAACCATGATGTTTTATCACAAGTGGATTTCGGTTGAATTACTAATTTTTAAAAGGGATACATGTGGCTAAAGGAACTCAGACTGCATTGCTGATTCCTATTGTAAGGGTACAAGACTCTGAGCAGTATGTGTTTCCCTATACAAGGAAAGGTCAGTTTTGTCCATCTTGGGGTATCTGGGTACCTCAAGTGTGCTATGCGTTAGGTTTTAAGAGCACCAATGTAGACGGCAGCTTTTTTGGAAGACGGAGTTCATAGGGTTTCCAGGCAGTGACATCATGACTTGATGTCAGGGCCTCACGCACGCAAGGCAGGTGCTCCACCACTGAACAGTTCTGCACTGAACCACTGAACAATTCCACCACTGAACAATTCTGCACTGAATCACTGAAAAATTCCTGCAGCCAGTTTCTAATACTAGTAACTGTGGTGAAGTTGTTAGGTAGACTTGGATCCTAATCAAGAATATTGGTCTTGATTAGGAAGATTCCCTGGAGTCATGAGCATACAATACTGTAAAGCTCCATCTCCTGGTAAAAGCAACAAATGATTCTTTGGGAATTTGCTGGAAGCTTCCTGGGGCATGTGTTTAGACTGGAGGTTTCAACGTGGACCACCTCTGTGTACTCTCTTCTGGATTGTGACTCTGTAGACACAATCGGCTGAAATGTTGAGGGCACCTCGTGTAGCCACAGTCTAGCCTTTGTCCCCACATTTCCAGTCTTTCACTGAAGAGGAGCCAGGTGCCAGAGCCCCGATTGGAACCTGCCTCAGTAGTGCCGACGGCTGCTGGTCTTCAGCCGAGTCTGTGAGCTCAGCGCTTGGGGGTTTGCTGTCACTTGAAGTCTCCTGATGCCAAACCTGAGCTGTTCCCTGACTCCTCMGCCCAGGGCCTGTGGGTCATGCGACTGTGGCCACCATGAAGCGGTGGCTGTGAGCTGACTGCTCAGCCWTGGCTTCTGCCTTTTTGAAGTTGTTTCTCTGCGTCCTGCTGGCTGCACCCGGGAGGTGGAGCCCCAGGGTGGTTCCAGATGTCTCGACCACCTRACAGCTGGCCCCTCGCTTTCTTGAYGAACTGAGTGCCACCTGTCTTCCAGGTGGACAGTTCTGTTCTTGAGTTGCTCTTGTGAAGTGTCTGGCTTGGTCCTTTAGTCATGAGTTGCCAGTTGATAAGCATCTGATACTTTTCTTCCTTCAGGAACAGGGCTGCATTTCTACCACAAACTATGGCAGTGGAKGCAGAGGCCCCATAGTGTGTTCTTGAGCACCCCCTGGGTCATGCAAGGGTTAGCAAAGGGCTCAGCATGAGAGGGGTCTCTGGAACGCCACCTCCCCTGGCAGCCCATYGGGAGTGGACTTGGTGCCCATGTTATTTTCAATTTTTCTCTGAAGCCACACAGGGGACAGAGGAGCTGGTCACAGATGGGAGCCACAGGTGTCCAGCAAGTGGTTTGGAAGCATTCAGAAATGCTGAGGTGGGGAGCCACCTCGTCCCCAGGTGTTCCTGAATGAGTTGGGGATGTCACTCAGCTCAGGTCAGTTCTAGGGRAAGCCTGTTCCTGATACTGCTCTGCCCCTTGGCCCCTTAGCATCTCCCTGACCCGCCCCTCCCCCAGTTTGGGAGAAGCCTGCAGGGAGCTTGTTCTCGGAGGTTCATCAGGGGCTTCTGCCAAGGGAAAGTGGAAGGTCCTCCGGTGTGTCCACGCCTGTTCTATCTCCCAAGCCTGTCCTCCTCCCTCTCTCGTCCACCCACCCTGCCCCTGCAGAGGTGGCGTTGGAGGCCCTTGGTCCCTGTTCCCGCCACGTGTGCACAATAAAGACAAGAGACAGTGCTGGTCGTTTTGCCTTAAGACTTCAATATGCTGGATTTTGGCGTGAGGTATTTTTATTCCCTTTGTTAGTGCTTGAAACCATCTGGTACATATCGTAAGGCAAAGGATGACACGTCTTGAGCTCTTGTCCGCCCGTCCCTCGTGGACACCAGCCACAGCTCCATGACGGTGTGCCCAGTGTTCAGGGAAGTGGCCTCCCTGTGAGGACATGGGACAGAACCGTGCTGAATGGGCCGACTATCGTCAGGCAGGGCTCAAGAGTGYGAAGGGAATGGCAGCCACCTGGTCGCCACAGGGAACGGGTCGACGCTGCCCACCTGTGGGCACTGGGACACCAGGTTCCCAGCGAAGCGTGACCGTCCAGGGGTGCAGTGTTACTCTGCCGGTACCCCATGCCCGGGGGGTGGGTCTAAAGAGTGAAGACAGGCACGGTAGATAACTACTAGAGATCGCGTGGTTTCCAACCACGGAGGCGGGAGGGGAGGGGTCTGGTCACGGGGGCTGGGACTACGTACCATGACTGTACAGGCTCCTGTATCCATGAAGCTCACATGACACCCCAGAACGGAACAGCACAAATGGCCCTGGTCAGTGACACACAGGTTCTCATGCTTGTGAAACACAGCAAACACCATCGTACACACCACTCACAGGACAGCAGCAGTCAGGGGCGCACTGGGTCCCTGCTCCTCCGAACAGAAAACCACCCGCTACGGTTTGTAAAGAGGAATCGATTTGGTCAACTTCACCAAGAAGTAGGCCAGGTAACAAGTGTGTCACTGGAGCGTGGGCCCCTCAGCGGAGCGGAGTGCGCTGGGAACTGCTTATTAGTCAAGGRAAGTGAGTCCTGTGGACCTCCTGTTATAAAAGTAGAAAGATTGGGGGGAAATGAAACCTGAAAACGATCTCATTTGCTTAAGACCGCCACGAGTGGCGAACACTGGAAAAATCCATTTTTAAAACAGCAGCCCGCAGGTGGATTACTAAAAGTCCTTTTCTAAGAAAAAGAAGAGCACTTGCCCTGTCCTCGGTCGAACGGATGCGTGTGCACCGCGTTAGAGGTGCAGGCGTGGGGAAGGAATGTCGTTTGGCACTCTTTAATGACAATGCTGCAATACTGGCACAAGCCCAAGAACAGTCCCCATGAGAATGACAGCAGAAGGCCCCCAGGCCTGGAGGTGGGAGGCCCCGTTCCAAGGAGAACTCAGCAGTGGAGAAGACAAGGTGAGGAGATGGCCGCGGAGGGAGACGGGCGGGAGTCACTGTGAAACCATGTTCAGACAGGTGACAGTGTGGCTGGCTTCGTCACAGACGGTGAGCCAGCCGTGGAGTGCGTCCAGCCATCAATACATGTGAGATTCTTTGTGACTTGAAACATGGGCCCGAGAGGCAGAGCTGGTGGCACTTCGGATCACTTCCATCCACCTGAAACAGAAGAAGGTGACAGGACTGTTTTGGGCCACTTTATTCAGTTTCATGGTTCTRTGCTGCCATTATTGGCAAAAACACGGTGTCATGGAAGCCCAACTGGTTTGAAATTGGTCATTTTGGCAGAAGAGTTTGTAAGTTAGAGTTAAAGCAGAAGGTTCCTCTAGGGGTCCCCAAGGAATGCAGTTTGAGAACCACAGGAGCCAGAGGCACGGGAGGCCACAGGCTCACTTTGACCAATTTAGGATGAGGTGGCTTTGGCTGTGTGGGAGAGCTCTACCTCCTGATCTTTTCTGAGGATACTGAGTGTTTCCCAACCTGCTTGGTGGRGAATCCATTTTATGCTGCAGTAACATGTCCCCGGGGGTCATTTGGCAAAGTCTGGAGGATTAGCAGCCAGGGCAGCTTCCCCCTCCCCAGTCCATCTGGTTCAAAGTGTCCGTAGGACTGAGGCCGGGGAGCTGGGCTGAACCAAGCTTCCTCCTTGACGGAGGACCTTCAGGCAGCTCCCAAGTTAGACGGATCCAGCTCAGCTCCTTGATCCARGTCCAGGATCAAGTGTGAGAATCACTATCCTGTGGGCTCGGTGGCAAACTGTTGCTCAAGAACTGTTGGGTTTCTTTGTGGACATCACAAGGCACGTGTATAGTTCACGATCGGCCCATTCAGCAGTCCTTGTGGATCTGAGCACCCATGAGAACTCGCTGTCTTAACCCCGGGAGACAAGCTGCTCCCTAGGAGGGCACTGACCTGGCCCCTGAGTRGTGACTACTGCCCTGTCTAGCCTGAGGGCTCTGTCTCCAAGGACAGCAATGACAGCTCCATCAGAGGTGTGCTATGGAGTGCATTTCCCAGAGGCTCAGAATTTCTATCTAAAAATGTGAATTTCAGGAGTAGCCTCAAGGTGTAGCTCATGCCCAGTGGCCTGGCTCCTTTATCCACCCATTTCTTGGCTAAATAGCTCACTACATCATGCAGACAGCGGCAGAGAGGAGAGCCCTAAGACATGTAAGCTCTTCCTGCTTCCTGTGGCCCTTTGACGGGGACGTTCTTGGCCATTGCCCAGTCAGGCGTACTGTGACAGCTGAGCCTAGCAAGGGAGGGCGGCAGTCCCCGAGCTCGCTCCCCGCCACGGGCCTCAGCTTCGCTTCCTGACAACGTGCACACGTTAAGAGACCTAAAGGCRCAGGGTTGGTGGTGTGGGCAGGGTAGCACCCAGGAAGCCAAGACTGCACTGGCCTCCCAGGAGTGAGGGCGCATGGGCACCGGGCAGGGAGGGGAGCCAGCTCTAGGGAGTAAATGCAGGCCCACCCGGGGGTGTTCCCTGCCTGCCCAGGACCCAGTGCAGGACGTTGTTTACCTTTCGAACGTGTATTCGCTCTCAGCCCTGAAGTAGTATACGTGGGACTTGAAGTGCAGCTTGAACACATAGTCCTTGTGGATGTTCTCGGCCTCGGAGGGGACGGTGAGCGAGTACCCGAGCAGAGGCAGGCTGGCGAGGGGATGATTGTCCTGGGAAGGGCACAGAGGTGGCTGGGGGAGGAGGCCGCGCCTGGCTACTGCCCCCSACCTGGAACAGCTCTGGAGCCCAGGCAGTTCCACCCAAGGACGTGRGTCTGCAGGGAAGGGACTAGAGGCCACGGTCTTGGCCAGTGCAGTGAGGTCCAGCTCATGACTCCAGGAGGACATGAGCCCCACACGATCCCCTTTCCTTGTCCAACCAGCAGCCAGACTGTCCTTTAGCCAACAGTTAACATCAGCCTTGGCTGAGCCGTGCCCCCCCCACAGGCCCAGCGCAGGATCCCCAGCACCTGCTTCTCCACGCCCAGCAGGGGCTGAGCAGGGGAGCCCCATCTGTCTCCCAGGGGAGGCCGCCTGCCTGCAGGGAGGGTGCTGTAGGAAGCCCCGAGTTGCCGCCACTCTTCCCAGGCCAGGCACACTTCACTCGGTCCCCATCCCTAAGGTCCCAGGGCCACCTGACCTGGGCCAGGTACCTACCTGGTGTGACTTGTAGAAGAACAGACAGAAGTTSGTGAACACCACCCACAGCTTCTGCCATCCATTGCTGTTTTTGAATTTCCTCAGCAGGTTCCCAGACAGCTGGTTCTGAAAGTCAAGCGGCCAGTCAGGGGCACAGGGAATGGCCCCGGCAAGACAGCGCGGCCTCGACGCCCATCGTGCTGTGTGGTGGTCACGGGAGGTGCCCAGGTTCTAAGAACATGCCCTGACTAGGAAAAGGCCCACCACTCCCTGGCGGGTGGAGAAGCCCTTGGGTGGAGTGGGCCGGGCCTGAGTAATTCTCCTGGTCACCTGTTACAGGTTAAGTCGCATCCTCTTCACCTGCACTGTCTCAGAATGTGACCTCAGTAAAGTAGGTGGCTCAGGTACAAGTTAAAATGAGGTCCCAGTGGGGAAGAGGGACACACAGGAAGGACGCCTTGTGCCGTGGGGCAGGGGCCCACAGCAACATCACACTCTGCCAACGAACAATGGAAGAGGCGAGGAAGGGTCCCTTGGCTTCCAGGGYCTCGGCCCCACTGACAGCTTGATCTTCACCTTGTGGCCCCCCAGAAACCATGGGAGAACGAATTTCTGCTCTAAGCCACTGTCTTTGTGGTCCTTTCCTAGGAAACAGATCCATCCGGCCACCAARGCTGGAAGGACACCCTCACCTGCAGCTCCTGACCGCCACCTAGTGGGCCAGGGCCAGAAGCTGCACTCAGCCAGGCAGGGCGGGTCCAGGCCCTGTCTCCAGTATCCTGGGCTAATCCCACAGTCCTGTGGTCACCTGAGACCTGGGTCAGCTGCTGCTAAAGACGCACAGGCAGCCCCGATGGGAGCAAAGGACGGACACCTTGCTGGGCCAGAGAATGCTGAGGCGACTGGGGGACTTTCTGACAAGCCAGGTCTCCTTGGTTTCCTTTGTCAAGGTGGCACCACCAAGGGAGACTCAGGTAGGAAGGTGGTCATGGGGGCACAACCTTTAAAGATGAGTGCCACTCACCTGTCCACTTAAAATGGCTAATTTGCCAAATTTTAAATTTTACCAGTTTTAAAAAGCAAAAGCTATTTACTCCATTCCCGTAAGTACCCACACCAGCAAGTGAAGGCCTGGGCCAGGAGCGGAGATGGAAGATGTTTGACRTCTCTCTCCAGCTGCTCACAGTCTGATGGTGGGGGGGGGGGGAACAGTGAGCTGAGAGGGTGCAGCTCCAACCTTCTGTCCCCTTGTCTGACTGCCATCCCCTCTCAGGGACAAGGGAGCACAGGGCTCCCAGCAGATGGTGACACCCAGGGCTGAGCTGGGGATTTGGTGACCTAGCAGTATCACACCATGGCACACCGGAGGTCAGGACCCCACATTAGACAGGAGGACTTCTCCCATGTCCTCGCAYACGTCCTCTTACACCCAAAGCCAGCCCACCCAGGGGTCCGACACTGCATCCATCCTCCCCATTCCAGGCCCATATTCTGAGGCAGGCTCCTCGGGATGCCCTGGCTTCTACCAGCCACCTGAAGCCCTTGCTCTGTCCTCGCAGCCTCTGCAGCTCCTGCAGCTCCTGCCCCAATGGACTCTCGGTGAAGTTCCCTGTCCCTTCTGCTCTTGTGGGCTGAGCCCTGTGAGTGCATGTCTTGGGCGTCTCCCAGAACCAGCCAGTGCCCCGTTTCCTTGTTGCTGTCCCCAGAAACCCTCTCATCTTCCTGACTGACAGAGGCCTCCTTGCTCTGCCCCCCTTGCCATCCATCTCAGCCCATGGTGGGTGGGCTGAACGGTATGTCCCCAAAGACACGTCCAAGTCCAAACCCCTATTACTCGTGAACGTGACCTCTTACAAGTAGGATCCATGYGGACGGTGCTCCTATAAAGAGATTTGCATCCAGATGCAGGGAGCAGACCATGTGGCTCCAGAGGTGACTAGTGATKTGACAGGACTGAGCCAAGGACTGTCGGTGCCCTAGCAGTATCACACGGGCAAGAAGCCAGCAGAGAGGCAGGGAATAGATGTCCCCCAGGCGCCTCCAGCAGGAACCAGGTCACCACCGCCCTGCTGCTGGGGCTTGCTGTGCTTTGGGAGAGTGAGCTGGCGTTTTGATGGGTGTGCGGTCCTGTCACAGCAGCCACAGGAAGTGAACTGTCCTGTCCCCCTGTCTGCACTGCACTCTCTCACTGTCCTCCGAGTCAGTGTCTATCTGCCAAAGAACTTCCCAGAGGGACACTGTCCCCAGTACACTCTTAAAAGACAACTCTGATCTTTCAAAGCCCTTGCTGGCTCCGCYAGCTGCACGGCTTCCCTCAGTTGGCAGTCCTACCCTAGACCTGTCGTCYGGACCCCTACGACTGGCCGAGGGGACCCCCGTGCCACAGCCAGCTCATCGCCATGCCGTCCCCAAGCCTCCCGGTGCTCACTTCTACCTGCACAAATCACAGCAGACAGAAGCCGGGCACAGGCTGAGGAAGGGCCACGGCCGGGAGGACAGGAGCCGCCCGAGGCCCACCAGCTGGTCCAGGAGCGTTTTGGCACCTGGCACATGAGGCCACCCACCTCAGAGGCCAGACTGAAGTGCTGTGCCTTGGGAGGGACTTTCATATGGAGGGGACGTGTGGGAGATACCTGGCCAGTCCCACAAAACTTTAACCTGCATTATTGCCCCCCAAAGCCACCCACGAGCATTCATGCTGGCTCCTGAGGGTGGCCAGCTTCTCCTYGGGGCCGCAGTAAGTGTCACAGGCTGTGCAGGCAAAATCGGAGCCAGTACCCAGAGACCACTGGGAAGCATGGTCCCACTCCTAGTTCAGGACGGGAAGTGGCCAGGTGTCGCTGGATCTGGCCTGCGGAGGGTGTCTTCCCGACCCTGAAGACACCCGCGACTCTGTAGATGGTGCGTGAAGGAGTGCGGGGCTTGTGGAGGTGCCCCCAGGCCACCTGCCCCTCACTGCACGCTTGAGTGGCTTCCCGCTCCCAGCAAGCTTCACACGCCCACCCAGAGGGAGGGTGCAGTGGGGGCGGAGTGCGGAACACGTGGCTTGTGAGCGGGAGGGAGAGGGAACGTGCAGTCAGTGCCCACTGACCAGGCACAGCGGCCTCCACGGGCAGAGCCCAGCGGGAGTGGCCAGGACAGTGAGTGGCTGGCCTCGCCATGTCCACAGAGACTGTCGTCCCCACACAGGGCACAGCAGGAAGCTCAGAAAGGTGGGTGGGACCATGAAGGTCACTTCCAGAGAACACGGAGATGCCTCAGAGGTCGGCACCTCTCCCAGCCTGCCTGATCGGAGCCAGCGAACCTTCACGTGAYGCTGTGGCCCAGGCACATTTGGGAACGAGAACTTCCTGTGTTTTAGAAGCTGAGTCCAGCCTCTACCTCAGTGGGGGCCAGGGGACCAGCCAGGGTCAGCCACGGTGACGATTTCATACGAGACCGAGCTGCACGCAACTGGAGAGACACCGATGGCCGGGTACAGCCAGGTGGGTGCTGCTGGCCAGGGGACATGAGAAAGCTCCTGTTTTCAGTTTTCTGGGCTTGAAAGGTTCTTAAAGTCACTTCAGACCTGAGCTGGAAAAGGGGGTTTGGAAAGGTCTGGAAGCCTTCCCAGTTGTGATCAAGGAGGCCTACGTTCAGGGCGAGTCCCAGAGCACCCCTGGAGGGCCCCACCCCGCGTCCCCTCCTCGGGGTGGCCCTGCTGGCACCAGCTTGCCCACTGTCAGACCCTACAACCTCCTCAGACACCCGATTCCCAGGTGGCAGCTCCAGGACATGGCCCTGGACTCACGGCTGCACCCGTGAAGACGCTGCCCTGTGACCCAGTCCCCTAGAGGAGAGAAGCTGGAGAACAAAAGAAAGCCAGACTCCTGTAGGTGGCAGCGAAGACTGACGGACAGCAGGAGCCGCGGCTGCAGCGGCAGAGGACAACGCCCACTCCCTGCCCCCGTCCTCCCTGCTCAGYTGCCAATGGCCAGGCACAGGGCCAGGCTCACTGCAGACCCCTGGGCCGGAGGCTGCACGTGCTCTGCCCGGGCAGGTGCAAGGTAGGGATGAGAGCCACCCAGCCGCCACCTCCCGCCACCTCCGCACTCCACGGGTACCTCCACGGCGACGCTGAAGTCCACCATGGAGACGCTGGTGTTGCGGTGCCAGCACACGTGCACCATCGTGTTGCCGCGGTGAGGGGCCTGGCGCTCCAGTGAGGTGCGTGAGGCACTCAGGTCGTCCTCYGACTCCTGGTCGGCCGTGGTGGCTTCGTCGGGGGACTCTGCAGGATGACAGGAAGCCACACTCATGTCTCCTCATGTGAAGCCTGATCCCCTCCAAAGCACTGAGGAGGGTCAGAAGGCTGGGGGACTCAGCGTGGTCCCCAGGGCACCCACTAAGCAGGGGTCTAGCGAGGCCTCCATGGAGGGGAGCATGCCCTGGCCCACCKGCCTCTGCCAGGGAGCCCTGCACATCTGGGTGCCTGGCCTGTGGCCCTACACAGCAGCCCGCCCTTCTCCTTGGACACCAACTGCCGAGCCGCAGTGCCGGCCCTGAGCGGGTGACTTCCCTGCCCCGTTGCATGTTTCCACAGTTTAACTTTCAGAAAAAGAGCTTTTGTTTGATTTCTAGCCTTAAACTCAAACACAGATTATGGCTGWGGGACCATCTGCCAGGGGTGCAGAGCCAGGCCACCCCTCCACAGTGGGCCCCATGGCCATGGGCTTGGGCACTGCCCCAGGGAGCTTCCCCACCACTCACTGTTGTCCGGGGGGCTGCTGGCCAGGAACTCRGGTGTGGGGCCACTGCTCTTCTCTGCCAGGTCAATGGCCATCTGGATGTCCTCAATCCACTTTTCCATCTCGGACCGAGAACTGAGGACAGAGATGGGTGTCAGCTTCTCAGACACAGCAGGTCAAAGGTAGACGGTAGGCGGTCAGATTCAGAGTTACCTGGCGGCCACGATGATGGACTGCCGCTGGCCTCGCAGGGTCAGGCAGTGGGGCACCCCCCACTCGTCCTCGCTCTGCTCGATCTGTGGGGCAAGAGTTCACCACGTTACCGTGAAGCAGTAGGCGAGATGCCTGGTATGTCGTCAGATGCTTCCTAAAGGTGACYAGGCCACTGAAAGCCGAAAACAGGTCAGGGCCCAGAGGAAAGCAGAGCCCATGCACCTCTCTGTCCACCTCCTAAGGAGGCCACCATAAGCCAAGGTCACAATCCTGCAGCGAGGTGTCTCATGTGCACCTGCTTGTCCAGGGGTTGGGGCCCTGGCCACTGGCTCTTCTTGCAGGGGACAAGCTGGTCTAGCCCCGATGCACCATTCCTCGTGTGTGGTGAGGCTGCCCGCCAGGCTGGGAGGGGCAGGGTCACACAGAGGCAGGCAGCAGCCTCTACTTGGTTCCAGAAGGAAGCACTGGTGGCATCTCACATGCAAGAGGAGGGGCAGTGTCCCTACCGGGAGGGCCCTAGAAGGCCGTTCTTTCAGGGGACGGGGCAGKACTGGAGAGCCACTGGTCTTCAGGGCCCAGTCTTCTCACCCAGGAGGGTCCTGTCCTCCACTTCCTTTCCAGCCTCGCCCTTTGGCTCCTCCCATCAGAGGTGTGCTCCCTCCTGCCTGGCAGGGAGAGCACCTGCTGCTGCCCGCGCGGCGCACTCACCGTCATGCCATAGAGCGGGAGCTGCCCGTGGACTTTAAACTGGTTGGAGGCGGTCAGTCCCCGGCTGGTGTACAGCAAGACATCGTTGAACTAGAGGAACAAGCGGAGTGGCGGGTGAGTGGGCTCCACTGGATACCATCAGGGCAGTCAGTGCATTCCCCAAGTCTCTGGGAAACCCAGGGAGCTGCTCTTCCTGCCTGCCAGGGTCCCTTGGGTGGCCATGGCCTGACGATCTCTAGCCCTGTGACAACATGGGTCCGGGRGCCATCGAGAGGATACATGGCTCTCACCACTTACCAGGAAAAACATGCGCTGCTGGAGCCCCTTCCCCGAGAGCTTGCTGAGGCTGCCCAGGCGGATGAACTCCTGCGGAGCAGACACAGCCAGATGTACCAAGAGCGCAGGGCCCCCTGCACCCGCGGCCCTGTCCTGCTGAGTGAGGCCCTCAGTTACTGCATCCCGGGGCCAGGCTAGGCTGCCACGTCTTTCCCAGGGGCCTTCATGGCAGGTGCCCCATCAGCGGCACCTCACAGGAAACTGGGGTTCAGGCTAGCAGGAAGCATGTGCTCACATGCAGGGAGCCACAGCCCCTCTGAGGATGAGGGCCACCCCCAGCTCCATGCTCCCCACCATGAAGGAGAGGACAGGAATTCCAACTGCACAAAGCGGCAGCCAGGGACCGGGAAGACAGTGCAGAAGACAGAGAATCTTGTCTGTGAGTTCCGACTCTGGGTCTTAGAAACCAGAGGAACCAAGGCACATTTTCCCCTAGATCCATGAGGACGGAGGTTGTGCTGTGTAGGACAGGCACTTTGAAAACCAAACAGCAACCTTTTCTTTCTTTTGGGATGGGGGCCAGGTTGCCCTGGCTGTCCTTGAACCCCTGGGTTCAAGCCGTCCTCCCACCTTGGCCTCCTGAGCAGCTGTACTGCACCACGTCCAGCTAATGGTCAATTTTACGTTGAGATAGAGCACACATGGACYGTCCCATGCGCATCAGTAGTGCCTTCAGTGCCGTGCCACCCTCACTACTGTCTCTCTGGAACTCGCTCCCTCTGAGAGCCCGTGATGCTGCTCCCATTTTGTTTGCCTAGGAAGTGAGGTGGCGCTGAAGCCGGTAAGCAGCACCCCAACTCCAGCTTCACCTSTGTAAGCAAAAACGACCTCCCCTTGCTGAGTGCACGGTATGTCTGACACGTCCCGGGCGGGCGTACTGGTCCCTCACGCCAGCCTGACGTTCAACAGTATTATTCCCACTTCCAGATAAGGAAACCGAGGAGCAAAATGATGAAGAAATGAGCCCAAGACAACCTGGTCAGCCAGGGGTGACCGAGCACCAGCCGWGAAAGGCTCATGATGCTCGGGGTGCTGTGGCACCGTCCGTAATGCAGGAAGGGAATGCTTGGTCCCCTTTGTAAGTGGGAGCGGAGACGGAAGATAAGATGTACTGCGTCTTCTTATATAATAAGACCCATGTGGGGGAGGATAAGATCCCCCTTCCAGTTCCATCATGCCGGCTCTGGTAGAGCCAGAATTTGAACCTGTGGCTGCCTATTCCAATCCAGTGCTCTCTTCACTCACTGGAAACCGTTCCCTGAAAATGAGAAATCCTTACAAACGGCCTGTTCACCTCGGCCTAATGCATTAATGTCTTGTAGAGTTCTGYTTAAACAAAATTACATCAATTCCACCGGGCTTTCCACATGGAAGGCAGACGAGGCCACTACGTGTTGGGACCAGGCAGAACTCTCTCGCCAGAAGAGCTGGGGCGAACCCCAGCCTTCATCTCCACCCAGTACCCACCATAGAACTCGGACGAGTCTCCCAAAGCGTGTCTGCCCTTTCCCGTCAGTTTGTGATTCGGCTTCTGGCGGTGACGGCGGGGAACCTCCCCATGTGCTCCCCCAGTGCCGAGGCCGCTACCTGTTAGATGAGCCTGCAAGGCCCGACGTTCAGGGGCTGGTCCTAAGGGTAAGGCTGGCATGCAGCAGGGCAGAGGCCTGAATGTGGCTGGCACAGAGTTGGAAGTGGGAGAGACACCCGGACCAAGATTCCAGAGGAATTGGATAGATATGGCAAAGAATGATCATTTTTGATTCCTGAGAAATGATTGCTTCCTGAGAAGGGAACTGGAAAAAGCAGGCTTTTCCCCCATCTTGTCTGTTCCCCTACCTGGTGGGAGTGTGTGTGAGTGTGAGAGTGTGTGTGTGTGAGTGTGTGTGAGAGTGTGTGTGTGTGTGTGTGTGTGTGTGTGTGTGTATTGGAAGCCCCACCCATTGCTAATGACCTGCTTCTCGTGGAGGGTGCTGGGTAGGTACAAGTTAATACCATAAGTGAACCTGTATCTCCCAGAATTGTTTCAAATGTCATTTTGATTTTAAATGAAACTTATGTATAAAAATTTTGCATCTTTAAAAAAAAGTACCGAACTTGAATGGGATCTTATAGACACTATCATGCACTAACAACTTCTCTGCTTTTAGRTCACCATTTTATCTAGTCCTTTTCTTTCTCTTTCTCTTCCATTTTCATTAAATTTCATTTTTTTTGTTTTGTGCTGGGATTGAATGGAGGGCCTCAGGCATGTTAGGTAACTGCTCTACCACTAAGATGCACCCTCAGCCCCTCATTTACCTAAGTTTTAAAAAACAAGACAAGCTGTCTTAAATCCYCCCTGGAATGCAATAGGGAAATGTAAATAATCAACAAATAAGRAGAAGCAGAAGGTGAGGTCAGAGGATTTCCCTCTCCTCCCTACACAGATTCTGAATGACACTGTCATGTTGAAAGTGTTTTCCCAGTGGCCTCCTGGGGAGCAGGGGGAGGGCACTTGAACTTGAGAGTGTCCATGGTCCACAAGCTCTAGCCCCCGAAGCCTCTCTCTGACTCTATGTCCCRCCCCCTCCGCTTACCCTCCCGGGAACCACGAGATTGTCAATGCCAATCAAGTCTTTCTTGAGTTCGTGCAGCTTCTGGAAGTTCTCCATCTTGATCATCGTACCRTGCAGCTGCGCCACCATTTCCGTCATCTCTGCCAACGCGGCTGGCGAAGGAGACACAAGCGCGAGGTTAGTGCAGGCCAGGGCCTCTCCCCGGGCTCTCGGCTAGACTCTCCAGAGCTGTGCATTTCAGGGCCTGTCCTGCGGGGACGCATCGCTGCTGCTCAATCAGAGAAACTGGGGATTTGCTCTAGGGACAGATTTGCTGACCCGGTTTCCCTGCAGTACCTCGAGGAGGCAGGGGACTCAGCATGGCCTCATGGTGCCTGGCTGCCCCTCGGGTAAAAGGACTCGTGGGCATCGAGAGAAAGACACGGAATGAGGGCGCCCTGAATTCTGCCTCTTTCCTGGAGAGAACAGGGCCCCGTGAGTACAGAGAGGCCACAGAAGTGTGGGGACCGCCAGCCTGTGTGGGAGGGGCCTGTACTGCGACACTCGGGGACAAGCATCAGTGCACCTGCTCTTCCTCCTGTGGACATTAGCATGCTTACCAAGAGGGCGCAAAGAGCAACGGGGACATGCCAAAGGAGCTGCCCAGAGCCAGCAACCACGCATCAGGGGGGCACACAAGCCTGCGGTGGCTCGGCATGTGACAGTTCTGTCCAGAAACATGTGCCCCTGATTTTCAGTCTTCAGGTCCCCAAATTCCCCCTGCCCCTCCTCCTCGGGTTCCAGAAGGCAAGTGTTGGCAGTCGGGAGCAAAGTAAGCACTCCCTGGCTGACCACAGACGGCTTCCCCTCAGCCACAGTGACAAACCCTAGAGTTTTCCTCTGTCTTTGGACATTACCACCCACTTGGTCCAATAAACCTCTACTGGGCACCAGTACTCAGTGGGTTGGGAGTGAGGAGGCTGGGAGAGGAGAGGAGGGCACCTGGCCTCCCCCCAGTTCAGGCCTCCTGTGCTCAGGCCTGCCTGTGTGCCCCCTCTCTACAGTGAGGCCACTCTGCTTGAGCTAGGACACAAGCACATCTCTCTCTTTAATTGTCAGGGATGAACTCTTCCAACATCAGGGATTGCAAGTCCCAGTGTCCTCTCCCCGTCCTGAGTGACACGTCTGTGGGGTCCTCAGAGTTGGGAGAGGCCACCTTGTCCTGGCACAGCAATTGGCAATGCCAGGACACCAGGACAAGGTGGGCGAGGCCAGACCAACGTTGAGGTCAGGTGCCAGCTGAGGCTGCGGGACAAGGACAGGTTTGCAGGGAAGGCCGAGGAGGTGCTGGCAGTGATGCAGGAGGCAGGGACACAAGGCACCACGCCGTGGCAGTGGCTGGTTTCACAGGCTGATGGTCTAGAGAAACCTTGACATCGGAGGCAGCTCTGCCCGTCGGGCATGAGCCGCCACCGTCTTCATCGACTTTGCCAAGCCTTCTATTGAGCTGTGTTTTAAAAGACGAGCTGAAGGAGATCCCCGTATGTTCTAGACACCGAGAGCGACCGTCTGGACCCCCCGCCATGAGAGCCCTTCCTGCCTTCCCTCTGCAGCCAGGTCAGCTCGTCACATCTACAAGACCCTGTGGTGCCRGGCCCTGTTCACTGTTCCAGGCTTCTGGTTGCCCACTCCTCTGCACTCCACACAGAGGGCACCCAGCACTTCTGCTTTCTGGAATGTTCCATGAGTTCTCTCCCCTTTGGACCGGTGCATACCTGTATTTGTGCTGTTCCCTTTTCTCCGACCCTCCCCTCTGTATCCTCACCGTGGACATTCCTTCCTTGCTCCTGCCCACCTGCGTTTACAGCAGGTCCTCTCAGGGCCAGGATCCCATGTGTTCCACCTCCCAGGCACCCACAGCAGTGTGGATCCGGTGCATGAGGAACRGGGTGCAGGTCAGAACGGGTTTAGATTTTAGTTGGAGCAGGCAGGGGCCGCCTCGGTTTCAAGCAAAGGAGGAGGGAAAAGACGCGTCTGGAGAACAGTAACAGGTAGCCCAGGAGACAGGAGGGGTCTGAGCCTTCAGGCAAGAGCAGGGGGCCTGACATGCAAGGGACACAGACTCCATGCAGTGTGTTCAGGAGGCATCTCCAAAGGGCCCACTCTGGGGGCAGCCCTGGCTGGAGAGGGGAGGGGACTGTCTCAGCAACAGCCCTGACTCGCAAGGGACTTGGGGCTGAGGCCAGGGAACATAAATGCCAACAGACTGCAGGACAGAAGGAGCCAGGCTCAAATCAATGTGCGGAGGGCTGGGGATGTGGCCCAAGCGGTAGCGCGCTCGCCTGGCATGCATGCGGCCCGGGTTCCACCCTCAGCACCACATACAAACAAAGATGTTGTGTCCGCCGAGAACTAAAAAATAAATATTAAAATTCTCTCTCTCTCTCCCTCTCTCTTTTAAAAAAAAAAAAAAAACAATGTGCCGCTCAGTGGGACAAGAGTGCACTCCTGGATCCCTTCCCCCTCTGACCTCTGCTTCCTTGTCGATAAAATGGGACTGTTGAAGGAGTAAAGGTGACAAAGTAGGTCCTGTGCCTGGCCTGGGCACCTTGAGGGAGTACATCATCTTCAGTCAGTAGGGAAGCGTGACCCAGGTTCCATACCATTTACTTCCCAGCTGGGTAGCTCTGGACAGATTCCTTAACCTCTCTGATGTCAGTAGTCTCCATAGGTAAAATGAGCTCACCATGCCTCAGGCTGGTGAGGAAGGTGGAGTTAACTCGGGGGGAAAGGCTTATTCAGGTGACTGCACATCACAAATGCCCAGTGGTACTGAGCACGAGGATCAGGGACCAGCCCCCTTCTGTGGCAGGTAGGAGTAGGAGTTTCACCCACACAGGTGGAAGCCGTTCTGAGTGGGCGCCTCCAGGGTTCTTTGCCCCCAGCCTCCCAGGCTCAAAGGAAGGAATGCGTGCAAGAGGTGAAGGAGGAGTAGCACCTTTCCACGCAGGGACCAAGAGGGACAGGGGACTGTGGAAACCTGCGTCCCGGGCTCACCTCGGCAGTCCCTGAAGTCTGCGTGGCTGGGCGCGTGGTGCTTGCACAGACGCTCCAGGACCTGCTGGTAGTGCATGAGCCGGTGCAGCGGGCGCAGGAGGAAGGTGTTGAGCGGCAGGTAACACACCTTCTGCAGCTCGAAGTCTCTGCAGAGGAGCTCCAGGCGCCTCGAGCTCCTGATGGCGTTCTCCAGCGCCTCCAGTGCCTCGCCATGCTTCCAGAGGTGCGCTGCCAGGGGCTTGTGGGGCGAGAGGGGGAGTCCTGAGCCACGGACCAGCACGCTCTGGTGCCCAGCCCCGTTGGGCTTATGGACGTGCATTGCACCCTTCACATCATCACGTTTATTTAATCTCTTTAAATTTCAGTTTTCCTACTTTACTCCTTGATTCATCATTTTAATGATGTTCTGAGCACGAAATAAGAAGCTCCATTAAGGCACTAAGCAGTTTAAAATGCACATGCAGCTGGTGGCAATCTCAGCTACGACAGCGGGAGGCTGAGGCAGGAGAGTCCCAAGTTCAAGGCCAGCATGGACAACTTAGACCCTGTCTCTAAATAAATTAAAAAGGGCTGGGGTGTAGTTTAGTGGTAAAGTGCCCCCAGTTCAATCCCCAGTGAACACCTCCCATGCAAAACGCACAACACATAGGAACTATCCAACGGGAGGCCCTCGAGGGGTGGGGCTGTGGCTTTCTTCTGAGTATTTTAAGACGACAACTGACCAGGGCCATTCACCAAGCACCAAACAGTTCAGCAAACACATTCCGTTTGTCTCACCCCATTCATTCATGAAACAGCCGAGCACCTACAGGAGCCACTTGCTCTGCTACAAGCTTACTCTCCTCGGGGTGACGGACACGCCCAACATCTCCATTTCTAGTCCAGGGCACAGTCCTATCTCAGTGACACCCCACCCCCCACGCTCCTAAGGACCTGGAAACCATGCGTCCACACACAAGCCTACTCGCCCGGCCCGCCCCCCTGCCTTGTTCACCCTCTGACTCTAGGATCCGTGCTACCAATAAGCAGCTCCTCGGGACAGAAAACCCTGTGCAACAGTCCAGACTTCTTCTTATTTGAAAACTGCCCAAAGTTTTATCAATCGATCCAAACAYGTCGGAGCTGCCGTCTGCCCCATCCCTGAGCACACAGCCCTCCTTTGGTCACTGTCACCCACCCCACTTCCACGCCCCTTTCTGAAGTGCCTTTGAATGTGCGGTGCTCAGGATGGGATCCTCTGACCTGTCCAGCCTCCACTCGCTGCTCACCCCGGGTCACCCACCCTCCAACTGCACAGGAAAGTGCCAGGCACTGCACATGATGCTCCTGCTCAGGAGTCCCTATCTGGCTCCTGTTCCAGAACCTTCCCTGATGTCTACTCCTTTGTCCTCCTGCCCTTAATGCTGCACCTGCCTGTGTTGGCCCTTTCCCCAGGGACTCCCCTGCGAGGGTTATTTTCAGGTTTTCTGTTTTGAAGTAGAAACTCTACAGAAGAGCAGGGAGGCACTGTGAGCCCTCTCCCCTCCTCCCCTAAGGGTGACGTCCCACATGACTGGCACACATCAGCACCAGCAAACTGGCTGGGTACAGTCCACAAAGCTTATCTGGACTGCACCTATCACACATGCCTTCGTGTGTGTGCATGCGTGTGCGTGTGTGCACATGTGTACATGTCAGTGTGTGCATGGCAAGAAAGACACTAAAGCAGAGAGCACCCTAAGCATTTTGGACACAAGTGCTAACCCGAGCTTCTACCTCTCTACAACCGTCTGATGCGCCTTCCACACTTTATGAAAATGCTTTAAAATCAACAAGAACAAAAACAATTTGGAAAAAAAAAAAAAGATAAGCCAACCCATTATTTTTATTTTTGGCGTGGAGGGTGCTGGGATTGAAGCCAGGGCTCAATGCATGCAAGCTCAGGGCTCCACCTCTGGCCACGCCCTCGGCCCTCCCACCCATTCCTTAAAAAGGTTGTTGGTGGCTTCACCGCCCCCATCTATTTTTATTTCACTGCACAGAGCTCCAGCCGTAAACACGGGGTGTCAGCACAGTGCTGAGATGCCAGYTCAGCTGAGGAGCCCCACAGAGCACAAGGCACAGCTCCTTAGGCCCAGCAGGAGGGGCCGGCAGAGGCCAGGTGGTGCTGGTCAGCAGAGAGGAGGGCAGGGAAGCGGTGGTGGGCACCGGGCAAACAGTCTGAGAAGGCCACAAAGGACACCTGGAGAAAGCAAGGTGCTGGGGACTGTCCCCACAGGTGCAGGAAGAGCCAGGCAGGCCCTGCTGCCCAGAGGCCTGTGGCCGAGTCTAGGCCTGCGGAGGGGGCCTCGCCGGGCAGGCTCGGGACCTCAGGTAAGAGGAACACGCTGAGGGACAAGTGGACGAAGCCAGCCTGAGAGCCACTTCTGCAGGGTTCCCGCTCCAGGACCTTCTCAGGGAAGAGCCACGGAGACTGTAGGCGGCCGGCAGGGAGGGGGCGAGAGTGGGAGAAGCACAGGGGCTGTCAGGGCAGTGCCACCTGTCACTGCCATGGCGGGTGCACGTCACCATACACTTGTCCACACTTAGGATGTTCAACATGGGGCGCTCAGGCCCACCGCGGGCCTGGCTATGGTGGTCCCACAGGCACCCACCACCCAGAGGTAATAAGAGTGGAAACCGTGGGAGGGGCGCGGGGGGCTCTGTGCTTCCTGCTTCATTATCCTGTAGCCCTAAAACTGCTCTAAACTATTTTAAAGAGCTCACACGGAGAGCAGCACAGATGCCCGTCACCGCGACATCTGAGGGCGGTGCAGAACCTTAGCGTAGGACGCTGGTGTGGGGCCGCTTAGATGGGGTCGGCCTTCTTATCCTGCACAGGAGGCTGCAGTCCCGCCACTTGCGCGCCGCTCTCCGAGGCTGCCCACAACTGCAGCAGGTTGCTCTCTGAGCAGGTTGGAAAAGTGAACCTCGGAGGAGCTGGTAAGAACATCTCCATCTTTGTTAAGAGGTGAAGTCTGGTGGTGGAGTGCTTGCCCCGTGTGTACCTGGCCCTGGGTTCAACCCCAGCACCTCAGCGACCCAGACAGACAGACAGGAAATATCTTGGAGCTTTTGACCCTATCAAAACAACTTAGCCAAATGACTCGGGAATCAATTCAAGCCCCAACAGTAACTTCTCTATGAGGATATTGTATGTAGTAGGTGCTCAGTTAGCACTAGATGGATGGTCTGTTGGACAAATGGATACACAAATGCTGGAGTGACCACCTGCCTTCTTAGGGGGTCATTGCTTTCTCTGGGCAGTTATTAGTTACAAAAGTTATTAGGCTCTGGGCAGCTGAGATACAGGAAGATTGCTTTTAAAATGCAAATAGAGTTGTGTTCAATAGTTAAGTTATGTGAACAAAAACATTCTATAGTAAAGGAATTATTAATGGGTCAAAATGAAAATGAAAACATAAAAATTTCAGATATACAAGAATGGGCAGATTTCAAATATATGGTAGAGTACTGGTTTAATATTTACTGACTTCTTACTTTCATTGTAAATACTACTGAATGATTAAAAGTTTACATTGGCTTAGCTGGGCATAGTGGTGCACAGCTGTAAACTCAGCTACTTGGGAGGCTGAGGCAGGAGGATGGCAAATTCAAGGCCAGCCTCAGCAACTTAGTGAGACTTTTGACTCAAAATAAAATTAAAAAGCTGGAGGTGTAGCTCAGAGGTAGGAGATGCCTGCCTAGCATGTACAAAGCCTAGGTTTAATCCCCAGCACCACAAAACACAACAAACTAAAGCCCCCACACGCACGCTCGAGCACACACCCACACCCTTCCATGCTGATGTAAAGTCATGGGATTTCCTGGAATCCCTACACAGCTAATATTTTGTCGTGCTTAGAAGAAACCACAACCACCAACTGGAAATGAGCTACGTAGTCAACCAATGTTTTGTCTGCCATTTAAAAAAATGTTTTGAATGATMTATTCAGTAAAAAAAAAAAGTACCTGCTTTTCTGGGTGCAAATGCAAAGACTTTGAAACAACAGCCACAAAAAAACTACTAAAAATGTTTCCTTCAAGTAACACCTAGAGGAAAATTCACCCAGACTGCCACCCTCGCTGCTTTGCGTCGGGTGTCTGCAGGGGGTCGGCAACGTGCCTGCAGAAGGGCTGAAAGCCGGGGCCTGGGCAGCCCAGCTTCCTCTTCTGGGGTCCTGCCCACCCCAGGCCGCCCCGCTCACCTTCATGCCCTGAATGTTCCTCAGCATGACGTCTCCGATTCTTTGGTGATCTCTGAGGTGGGCATTTGAGCGGCCTTCCCTGAGAGCAAAGTTTCAAAGGCAAATGTTAACAGTGACAGATGACCGGGAAGGCCTCCCTAGGTGTTTCCTTTGCAGCCACCTGTCTGTACCCCTCCCAGGGCATCCCCGGTACTTTCTCTGGGATCACAACATGTCAGGGCTGGAAGGAGACTTTGAAATTCCCCTCCTCACTCTGCAGACAAGAATCCCACTTGTGCTTTGAAGGAGGGCAGAACCAATTTCCCATCTTTTAGTTTCATCTCACATTAACTGTTTTCCATCCACGTCCTGAGCCTGAAGGACACTTACTGTAACTGACTCGGGAGCCGACCGCGTCCTGTAGATGGGACTAACACTTGCGGGAAGCAAGACAGCCCCTGAATTGATGTTTCTGTTCCCAAGGGCCCTTAGCCTGAAGCCAAGAACTGTCTGGAAAGCCCTTGGGAAGGGAAAGACAAAATTGGGAAAATGCAGGAGGCCCAATTCCTGGAGGGAACAGGATGGGTGGCCAAGTAGAGAGGGACATGGGGAGGGACCGGGCCCTCCAGATGCACAGCAAAGCTGTGTGCACGTGGAAGGAGTGTGTGCACATATCGTCATGTTTCCTGTAGCTCAGTGCCAAAGCTGTCGTTGATAATTCAGGGACTTCGATAGCCACAAGGAAAATCACAATATTAGTGACTATTTACTGAGTCCTTCATGTACCAGACGATCTACCAATAAGGACATTGGAGGCATCGACTCATCTAACTCTCAGAGCAGCTTCATGAAGCAGGTCTACTAGAGCTTTCATTTTATAGCTAGGGAAACTGAGGCAGAGAGAAACTCTGCAGTCCAATGCCTGTTAACTCGAGGTAGAGAACTTGTCCTTGAGCCCGGGTAGTTGAGCTTCTGAGTTTGCAGTGGCTTTGAGAAAAGAATTTCCCAGATTAAAACAACAATCAACCTGGTGGATATCTTCAGACGACGGTTCCAGAGAGCCAGAAGCCAACTGGTAGGAGCCGGGTGAATTAAACAAACTAAAAGCCAACGAGACTCAGGTACTGGACTCCAGAGGTGTTCACAGGGCACAGAGGAGGCGGCGGCTCAGGTGAGGTGGCTCTGGGGGTGCAGACACGTCAGTAGCTGGTGACCCCCAGCGGAGAGAACAGACATTTGCAGGGGGCTGGAGGCCCCACCTGTGCCTCCATCTCTGGTTCACTGAGGACCTTCAGGGGACCAGCAGAGGCAGGGGGCACACACGGGCATCATCAAGCGAGGCCAGGAGGCAGTCAGGCCGGTGCAGTGAAGATGGGGGCAGCCCCCACTCCGCCCCGGCTCCAAGCACCCGCGATCGACAGCACCCTTTCTGCTGCTGGCCATGGCCAGCCCCGTGTGCACCCCCTCACAGGAGCCGGGGGGGGGGCCCACACTGCCGGAGCCACTAGAGCCCCTCTGAAACAGAAGGGAGGCCCAGCCCTGGGCCTCTACTTCCTTGGCCTTCTCCAGCCTGGCCCACCCTCTGTCCCACGTGGAACTCCCCGCCTTGGCTTCCCGCTGGCCACGCGTCACCATCCTCCTCTCCATGGACATGGATTCTATACTCCGCACTCCCTGACGGGGTTCACGGGACATTTGTCATGAGCCTCTCAACCACTGTGCCAAGCCCTCTCCCTGCCACCGAGTCCCCCACTGGGGCCACCGTGTCCCCACCAGCCTTTCCCCGCCATGACCCTCACTCGCCTCCAGGTCTGCTCTTAGCCCCTCGCCCCCTCCTCCTCTCTGTACTACTTCTGAGATCTCTGTGTCCTCTGGAACCCCATTGGTGGCCATCGTTCCTTTGTCCTTTGCAGAGGAGACGTCCTCCTGTGCTCTCTAGTTTCAGCTCAAGATCCCAATCTGCACCCAAAGGTTCCCTATACAGCTATCCACCCAGGTTCTCAGACCTTCCAGAGAGCTTAACGCAAATGACCCCACAAATGGACCCAGACGTTCCCCCGTCCATGGTCTGGCTCCCAGGCCCAACCCTCTTCCTACATTTTCTTAATGGTCTCTGCCCCAAGCTAGGAACCTCCATTATCTCCCCCTGGTCCCTCTCCCTGGTCCCCAGACAGCAGATCAAATTCTCTCCTGGAACAGGGTTGCCAGGGGCTGCTCCAGCTTCTTCCAGAGACTCCAGTCTCCCCTGGCGACAATCCACAGCCCACTGCTGAGCCCCGCGGATCCACCCTTTGGGCTCGAGGCACCTGTGGAGTGGGGGGTCTTAGCCCAGCCACCGCTGAGCCCTTCATCATCTGGCTGTCTTGCTGACCCTTGCAGGTGACCGGGCTCAGCTGATAACTGGCCGGCTGCCCTTGGGCTTCAACCCTTGAGCGGAGGGAGACCAGCCGGTGGGAAGCTCTGGCCGGGGACGCCCTCTGCTCTGCAGAAGCACCCGCCCTGCGGCACCCGCACGGCACACCTCGCTCTCCTAAGGGCTGGCCTGCTCTCCTTCCCTCTCCCCGTGGCCTTCCACTCCTGAACACAGTAGGTCTTCCCTTCAAAGAACCCGAGGGGGCCAGAATGACAGGACTCAATGGCACCTGGCCAGAAAAGGAGGCACAACTGAAACCTGTCTGTGGACACGTAGCGATGATCTGGAACTTCAATGATGGACCCAGGAATTCCCCAATGGGCCTCCAGGTGACATCACAGAAGAAGGGTCTGTCGTTCAAAGCCTGGGATTTGGTGACTCACCCAGAGTAGCCTGGACTGAGCGGGAGAGAGGGGCGGGCTCCTGGTTGCCATTAGCAACAAGTGCCTCCCCTCCAAAGCCAGCACCGCCCAGTGGAGCCCAGGAGAGTGGCGCAGAGTGGAGAGTGGAGCCAGACTTCATTTAATCTCACTGCCTCTGTTCTTCTGCCAACTATTTATGAAAGGGAAATCTATTGATGTAAAACCCCTCAACTCCAGGGGACATTCCTTCCTGTATCTGCTGCTATCCCAGCCGTGTCTGTGTCTCCAGGCCCTCAGCGCCTGGACTTGCCCTGTGCCGGTGGCCTCTCTCCCCTGGGCCACGGAGACAACAGCACTCCATTTAAAGGGGCTTGGCTCCATGCTGAGAGCAGGCTGGGGGCTCTGAAGTTTCTGCAAAGAGTGCAGCAGATCTGTCCCCGCCCGGGTCACACTGCCCCGTGGGGTCCAAACAGGAGACTTGTCCTCCGGGGCTGGGGCCAAACCTGAACTCTGCTGCCCCCGTGTGGAAATACCTTCGAGTCTGACTTCCTCGACGTCCCTGCCACCAAGTCCACAGATGCAAGGCGTTCATTTTATTCTAAGTRGCCGAAAGGTCATTGTATTATCAGGAACATGAAAAAGTAATTATGACTCTCCCACAACATCCTGCGGATGTTCACCCCATAAGAAAGGGGTCCTTGTTCRGAAGGCAGGGCCACATATTTGTTGTCTGGGTGATTACCACGCAGCACAGAGATGGAAATTCTTTTGACAATTTTGCTTAGGAAAACCGCACCCAGATGCTACCCTCTGACCCTTGCAATGTGATTATCGTACTCCCAGGAGTAACTCCACTGACCCCAGCAAAGGACTGGACACACACATGCACAGGCACACCGTGAACTCTGAGTCTTCCTGACCTTGTTCGAACACTTCACTCGCTGAGCTGGTCAGCACGTAGCAGCCGACTGACCGAGCAACAGGAAGAAGGAGAGAAGAGGAAGGAGACCTGGGGTGAGCCTGACCTGTGTGTGCCATCGAGGAGGGGAGCTGTGGGTCTGGCCCCCGTGAGCCCCTCGGGAGACAGGAGGGGCCGTGACCTGGGTTTTTTTTCTCTGACAGCCAAGAATTCTACTTGGCCGCAGGTAGGCCAAGCCAGCCAGGATAAACCCACCCTGTGCTGTCCGGGTCAYGTTCCCAGCCCCAGGTCAACACAGAACCCCAAAGGGGACCGAGTTCACAGTGGGCTGTGGACCTCACTGACCATGCCATCTCCCACCTGTCCCTCAAGTCTGACTGCCCTGTGAGGTGGTCTCCCTGCGGGGGGAGGAAGAACTTTGCAGAACACAGAAGCCCGGGGCCATCCTTGGGGATGGGTCCAAGGCCATCCAGCCAGCGGAAGGCAGCAATGCCCATGCTGGGCTTCCCAAGTAGCCCAAGAGAAATCCCGCCCTCCCTTCTCCGACTTCTTCACCCTGCTCCATGTCCTGGTGCCCTCTGACCCCTAACACACAGATCCAGTTTTCTGAAGCCTCTGAGTCTCCATTTGCAAAACAAACATCACATTCTTATCCTTACTACTCCCTGCAGCGTCTGTGATTCTAAGTGGAAAAAAAAAATGTATGTTATTACGTATGTTTGTGTGTCTAAGTAAGTAAAAGCATGGGAATGAGCAGATGGGGGAGACAAAGCTCATGCTGGTACGTRGGGTGGGCGGTGTGGTTAGTTCAAAACGCTACCGAGGTAGCCAGAGYGACGCGCTGTATTAACATGCACATGACACACTGGCCACAGGTAACCCATGTGGATCCCAATACCTTTTGGATGGGTCTCCATATCCTCTGAATCCACAGAGAGGAAAATCTATTAATTTTAACATTATTTGCAGCCCCACTAATCAAGTCGAGCTGGGGCCTGGCATCTCCCTGGCCAGGCCTCATGGAGTCTGCCAGCCATGGGTATTGGGGCATAGGGCCCTTTGCGCTCTCGGCCTCTCTAGATCTACACTACCCGGCTCCTGAGAGCTCTGGCTTCTTCTTTCTGAGGTCTAACTCTAGGTCAGACTGAGGAAGAAGGGCAAAAGTTACCATCCAGCCACCTTACGGCAGGTGTGACGTGTCCAGCAAGCCCTGTGTACTCACCTGTGTTTAATCTGTGGTTAGCAGGGTGCGTGTTAAAACAGCAGAAGAGCCAGGGCACTGGGTCCAGTGACCTGGATACTGTGTGCTCTCAGGTGGCTTCTGGCAGGAACACCCGTCATTCGGGCAACTGGAAGTGTCTTTGTTGTTCTAAGGAAAGCAGCCTGCTGTCAAAGCACCAAGGGCT